ATGCGACATCTCAGATATAGTATTTACTCATGTTAGAAAGTGAAATGAGTGAAAGTGTTGTGTGTGGGTAATTTACGTGTATTATTCAATTCCCAAGGATAATGTTATGTTACAGGCGACCGCCGGCCGTCCGCACCGTTATAAGATAGGACGACGACGACGACGGTGCAGACATAACACTGTCATTGAACGAATCATTGAATTCGTTATTAATAATAATTGCGGTATCAGTTATTACATACCTACATAATATATTATGTATAGACGGGTATATCATATAGTAGCAAAAAATTTATCGAATCACTATAATTCGAATTAGAATATAATATTATAATTAGGTACCTATATGTAATATTATATGCAGATACGTATTATTATATAGAGCTACAGGCACCTAAGTTGTATTATAATTTCACGTGGCGATGTATCAAACGAAATAACACGTGGGAAACGCGCGAAGTTCGATGCACTTGTATGCACGAGACTTAAGGTCACGTCTACGGTGAAAGTGTATCTATAATAATAATATTATAATTTCGATAATGAAAACATAGATTTAAAGAAGCGGTGTTACTCGTTATGTGAACGGAGTGAAACAGCTGCGCTGTAGAATTATATATTATTATTTATTATGCACACAACCGCATTATAACATTAGGTATGATGCATAGGTATTATATTATAGTGTAATGAATATATATCTTTAATGAATCACGGTTAGAATTCGGAGAACAAAACATTATGAGTGTTTCGAAAAACTGTAAAAAATAAATAAAAAATAAAAATAAATAAACCATCATCGTCTTGCGTAATCGTACTTTACGCTGCAGTTGACCCGATGTCCTTGAAGACGAGATCGAACATTACAATTAAAAAAATGTGTCTGGGTAAACACGAGGGGCCGGGATACTAGCTTATACGTTTCGTTATGATATATTATAACTACGTGGTTTTTAATAATAATTAATAAGAGAAAAATTAATTATGCCGGACGACGGAATTTCGGTGTATAATAATAATAATAATACCACTATAATATTCTAATGACTGCTACACAGAGCGGAAGGGATTCGTCAACCACAATGACGATAACGACCGACACAACGACTTTTTACCCGACTTAAACGGAGTACGAGGTATTGTGAAGTTATGCAATAATAGCAGTGATGACGACGATGATAGTATTGTAATAATCATAATAACCACACGCGGTACGATATGCGCGAAGGAACTCTCGGAGAAAGTAGTAAGTATTGAGCAATGGTTATGAAGCGTAGGTACTTGTTGTTTGTTCTATTATTACATATTATATACCTATCATTAAAAAAATAAAACATTCTGTTGTTTTAATTTTAATGATGATAGTAATATTATATTTTGTTCATAGTAAATATTATTAAAAACTTGATATCAGATAATAATATTATAAAGATCTCTAGTGAGACACACGATTAGTGTACAAAAATCGAAACAATGCTAAATTCGTATTTATAATGATATGTTTTTGTGACAAAATCTTTCATATTTTTATTCGATGAGATAAATAGTTCCATTTTAACATTATAGGTAGATACTTCAAACAAAACGCACACCTCATTAGCGATCTATCGGCTGAATTTGGAGGAATTATAATATTATGAAAGCTTTTCCTCACTAAAGTCTTGTTAAGTAATAGTTTACTATGAGTCGTATGTGCGTTATATAATTATATTGAATTAAATTGATTAATAATGTTATTTTCGTATTAATAAAATAGTCACGGGTACCTATAAATTAAAAATTATCAAAGCATTAATCAGATTTTTTGTGAATTCAAACTGTGCTTACGATATACCGATTGTACGTACAATACATTAAAAGTAAACCATTTATAAATGATGAAGTCATGTCATTAGGTAATACCTTGTTTTGATGACGAATATAGTTGAAAATATACTAATAATATTATTGTTAAATTTTTATTTCAATACTATAGGTGCCATCAATCCCTATATTGATCAATTTAACAAAATATGTGTTTTGACTTACACATTGTAAAGTTATTTATAAACTATAGACTGCACTGTTTATAAATAATAATAATTGGTATCTATTAGTAAACAATTCTGCGCTGAAGTAAATTGCTTAAAAACAGTAAACACATTTTTGATTGTTTTTTTTTTTAAAGTTCGTATAAAATGTATGTATATTTAACTATAGTAATAACTTATTATTGTCAAATAACTAAATAAAACTATTCATGTAAAAATTTGAAAAATGTTGAATCTAAAATTTTTTTTTTAAAAACATCGACGACCACTGCAGCGACCTTTAAGCGAGCATGGTTAAAAAAAACTCAAATTATAACTATTACTATCTTAGAAAACGTTCATAAAAAATTAGAAATTGTTGGTAAACGTTCTTATACATAGTATTATATTAGATAGAAGTACCTATACAGGCAATTTTTACATATTTTTAATATTGTCGCTAATATAGTAAAATATTATTATAGATACCTACCTACAAAAATAAGTTATTCTCAAGACTGCCTTATTTAAATTACGCCTACTACCGATTTCAAATTATTGCTTTTACTGTATTTATTGCTGTCTTTTAGTAAAATTACGTTTTTCCCAAATTTAACTTTTAAGTATCAAATATAATCTTACGTTCATCTTATACATCACAGAAACTCAGAGTTTTAATTATAAAAGTCAGTTGTCCAATTTCATAAATGCCATAGTGAAGTCCCCTATTTTGTGTTCCCTCGAGAAACATTTATCATCGTTTTTCCGTTTTTGAAATGACATTACAGAAAACGTTTATGATTTTGAAGGTTCTTGCTTTTATTTATTTGAAACATCATTGTATAACAATGTACCTCTATTTATATATTATAATTTTTAATAAATAACTTATATTAATTATTATTTATATTTCATTTTTAAATTTTTAGGCCAAGTATTGATAAAATACCCATGTATAATAATTCAAAGAAGTGTGTTATTTAAAAAAAAAAAAACATATCCAAATAATCTTATTTATCATAGTTATATATACCATCAATTGTTTTATAATTTAATGTTAGACTTGTATGACTTTTGATGACAAGAAACCTGCGATTTTAATATACCTATGTGATTTTTAAAAATATAGCAATACTATTAATTATAGCCTATAGGTAATTATTTTATTCAGTGCTGCCATTTTTAACAATTTTCGTTAATTTAATAATATTGATTTAATATTGATTCAAATTAACTATAGTCTATAAGACTAAATTCAGCATAGAATTGTTACAAAATATGATGTGTAAATATTACATTTCATGGTAAAAATATTACATAATAATAATATAATATTTAGGATATTAATAATTTCTAACCTGAATATTTATGTTAAAATAGTTAGGGAGTCCGGAAAATAAATTATATCACGTGCACTAACCATAGTTATGAAATCAACATAATATCATTATTATTCGAATTGGTATTATTAGAACATAATATTTTGTAATAATATCTCAATATATATCATTAAAAACAAAAATATATTGAACTATTCAATCAGATCATATAATATAATATTTCTACTTTATTTATAAAAGTCATTATTAAATGTTAAAATAAAAAAAAACATTGTTCAAATAAGTACTGGAAACTCATCATTTTTATGTTAGGGTGCAATATAAAAACTCATTATTATCGTTATTACTGCTTTAAAAAATATATAAAAGTATTACTAATGTAATAATAGTCAATATAGTCAATAGACAATTAATATCCACTGCTAAAATGTTTCTACTTTTAAAAACTTCGTGGTGGGGGGGGGAGTGTTAGTTTAATACATTTTTGGCGAAAACATTGAATTTACTTTATTATTATAATTATTATAGTAGGCATCTACCTCTAATATATATGAATTTATGTCATTTATTTTTTGGTGTTACCTTTTGAGCCATACTGACATAGGTAACATAGGGATATAAATAGGGGGCATTAAGTAATAGCATAAAATTCATCTAAATATTTTGAAAATGTTATTGTGAATATAAAATATAATAATATACGAAAAAGTTTCAAATCCAGATGAAAATATTTTTTTATTACAACAAAACAACTTAACTCGTTAAATATAATTTTTTTTTGCTTCAAATTATTAAAATAAATACTGGGAATATTTTGATTTTAAACCCCACTCCCCATTGGGCCCCACCCTTTCCTTTTAATTACCAATTAGAATCACTTTCTTACCAGTAAAGATATTGAAGTTGAAAGTCTAAGCTTTTTACTGTTGCAAAAGGTGATGACAGATACAAACAAATAGAACGTTAGTATTAATAATTGAAAGTCATACAAGACAATTTAAAATTATCAAATACAGATGATTATTGTTTAAGGCAGTTTAGTAACTATTCTATTTGATTTAATAGATACAATATAATATGACAAAAAAAATATTCATTAAATCTCAATTAAACTTAATAAAATAAAATAAATTTTATATTTTAACCATTCCATGTATAGTAGCTTGTAGAATATAGGTACAACATGTGTGAATGTGTGAGTGTATAACAAGTAGCCAGTTGTAGGTATAAGCATATGTATCCACAGGGTAAAAAAGTTAATTTATAGGTTTTTTATTTTGGGAACCCTTACATAATATAGCCGCAGAGTACGTCCCTGACTATTTTATTACAACCAAAGCCCCTATAAGATGAAAAAATTGTATTTACTTACCCCATCGAGCTTACAAATTTAATAATTAGTGAAAATGTTTGTGTTAAAACATACTATTATAACTTCCTATAACCGGCTTAGTTTCTATTCTCTACACAACCTCGGGTCATCTCGAGAATTTCACTCTCGTAAAATCATGTCAAAACCAAGACCGGTCAAGAGTGTATACCTCAGCGAAAGTGTCCAATACAATTTAACAGTTGAAAAAATTAAAGATTTCGATAATATTATTATCTTATTCTAAGATGAAATTTAATTTAAAAAATAAAATGAACTTACCGTATATAGTTTGCACTGCTGCAAAGAACTCGACGTCCGCGTAAGAGTCATAGTAATATAATCCAAAATCACAAGTAATAGTGTGCACTCGTATGGAAATAACGAAAAATGTACACCACTGTTGTGTTGCAAACCAGTTACTAGTACTTAAGTATTAATGACAATTTTAATGGTGATCGAACGATACGGTTTTTATTTATCATTGGACTGGAGCACTCGCGACCGAAAGGTATCAGTCACTAAAACACGACTGGCCGGTTACAGTATAAAACCTACGTATACTCAACAGTCCACCCAATCCATATTAATACGTAATACGACTCTATATAGTGTAATAATATTATATACGGTGAGTTATCCCCCTTCTGCAAGCCGTTGTAAATTATTACCACTACCATGCCGACTCTCACCCAGTCACATTGAAGACAGTTTCATATTATTAACGCCACCGCAGTATATTTAAAAAAAAAATCAACTTAATGTTTGCCTATAATATACTTTTGCCCCTCATGCAAGTCGTATAGTTTTTATTTCTACCCAATTACCTATGACGTATAGCAGTATAGGTCCTATACGGCTATAATATGTTATAACTCCTTATTGTAGCGACCAAAAAGTCCGTTTTTATACGAAATATCCCGTTTTTCCTTATTTTTTTTCCATGTGCTTTTAAAAACTACTGGGATATTTAAATTTTAACCTCTAAATGTACCAACTTTCTTACCAGCAAAATACTTAAATAGATTTAAGCATAATTTCGATTTTTGACTACTTATCGTGTATTCGTGTACACTGCAGATCACAGGCACAAAAAAAATTTAAAACATCAATACATTCATCTCTCCTCTCAGAATGTAAAATAATGATAACCTGGAAGTTTTATGGAAAATCAGCTATTAAATAAATCGTTTTTGTTTTTTTTTTTTGGTGTAACTCAAAAACGAATACGTAGAACTTGAAAAGTTTACCAAATGGTTATTATGAGTATTTTATACACATTGTATGATTTTCAAAATATTTTTAATCTTTTTGAACTATTAATAAACACTTTTAGTTTTTTCTATATGTTGATAAAAAAAATATTCATTAGGTAAAATACGTTGGATACTGAACACAAGATTCCTCATAAGTACTAAGCAGGTCATACTGAAACCTAAAAATCAAAAAAATATATAAATTTAAGTTCAAATTTGGTAGATATTTAAACAATATTACATCATTATTTAGTTATTTTGTTGCAATTCAAAAATAATATTAATGGGGACTTGATAAGTTTACCTATATAATTTATGATAATTAAAGTATTATATTATATAGTATAGTAGGTACAACATAGTATACTGTATAATATATTATAATATTATTTCCTATATTATAGTATTGTACAGACAATGGTATTTTCAAATGCATATTTTCGGAAAAAATTAACATAACTTATCGTATAACTAATGTCTTATAGTAAAACAAATAATTTTAATAGCAATATAATTATTAAAATATATCATAAAATATAGTTAGTAGGTATGTTTAGTAATATATACTGACAAGTGACTGCCTTCTTTCGGAATCGTTTTTCGTATACAATGATTTATCATTTGAATCAAATTAACACGTCATACATTACAGCTATTTGCTCAATGACGAAGTACTCTCGACACCTGTTAATACATCTGTACAGCAGAGCAGTTGCCTTCTCTTCCACTTTTTTTTTCTTAAACGATTGTTGGTTATTCAACCATGCATGAAAGTATACCTCACTATTAATATATTACACACCATAATAATATATGGAGATTAATTTGAGGTAAATATTATGGGTGTATGCCTATATCAATTGAGCCAAAAACCACAGTCCACAGATAAAAAACAATTACGGCTTTAAAAAAGGTTATTCGTTATTATTTCACAGAACAATATTGAGGAACGGGTTGGCGTATATACCTACCGATTGCTTCACCACATAATATCATATTATAGGTTTGATATCTATATATACAATATAGTAAAAAATTGATCAAAACGGAATATCGAATATATCCATCGAAAACCTCCAGAAAAAATATTAGTATCTCGATAAAAAACGAAGTTACACAAATTTTTTAAAATTTTTTCAATTGATCAGTTTGTAGCACAGATAAATAACAACAATATATTTTTATAAATAGGTGGTATCGTCGTTTATACAATCGTCTATAAAATAAAATATCAATAATAATTCGTACCTATTTCTTATATATTTTAATATAGCTAAGTACTATATGAATTATGAATGTAAGATATACATTTTTTCTAGTCTAGATTGAAACAAGTTTGTGTTATGGTTATGATTTTGTCCGCTTTCCGGTGGAGCAAAAGATACCTAATACTTAACACAGATAATCTTAAACTTAAATTTCTAAAAAAAAAAAAAGATATATATTGATTGATTCACCAAGCAAACTCATCCCCATTTTTCATTTAATAATGAATTTATTACAATTCTGTTTTTTGGAAGTTATTATTAAGAATTTTAGTACTACTTAAGGAAGTGCGTAAAGCGGAGATCCAAACTTTTGTTTTTTAATTGAGAACCCTCCTTTTCAATGGTAAATTATTTAGCCGATAATTTTTCTGAAAACTTTGACGTATCAAAATTCAAAATCAAAATTCGGACGAATAGTTTTTGAATTATTTAAATTTGTGTACGAAGGATAATATTATATTATAATATAGATCCATGATAATGGCTTTCAAAGACTATGGAAATTTGAAAATATTAATAATAAATATTTATTTATTATTATTTCAATATTTATAATTTCGTCGGCTTACTGCCAAAACTCATTAACGGCAAAATTTTAATATTTATTTTAAAGCGCTACCCATCTATTCTAGTGTATACATTTGAGCTCTACAATTTATGTAAACTGTAGATTCACTAAACATCAAAATCTCTATAAAAACGTGTCTTTTTTTAGAGTGTTCGATATTATTATTGTATTGTTTTATTGTAAGAAGTAAGAATTACTTCAATATGATTGCTTAGTGTGATAGGTTTATGTGATATAAAACAATTGAAAAATAGCAATATTATTTTGTATCATAGGAAAAAAATCAAAAAAATCCTAGAGAAACTTTCAATTATTTAAGACACCATTTACCAACAATTGCATTTTTACCGTTGATGAGATTTGGCAAGAAGCCGACGATTTATAAAAATGGTCGAAGTATCTATAGTAAATAGGTACTAGATCTGATGTTACATATATTTTATATTTTTGTAAAACCATTTTTAAGAACTATTAACCTTGCAATAAGCATTTTAATAACTGAAAAACTACTTGTTCCAATTTTAAATTAAGTACTTACAACAACAATTTCAAAAAAATATCTAATAAATAATTTACAGTAAAAAAGGGGGTTCTAATTTTTTGAAAAACAAAATTTGTATTGGCACAGAACTTTAATAGTACCAAAAATTATATGATTTTAATGTACATTTAAAAATTCCAAAAATCAGAAATTGAATAAATTCATTATTAAATGAAATAAATTTAATTTAATGAAATAATTAGGGTGAGCACGCGTTTTGATTTTCTCTGTAAAGGTATAGTGTGCATGTCAAAATCCTGTACAAATGGACATTGACAAATTCATTAAAATAATATTGAGTGATTTATCCAATTTAATTTTCTTATGTATATACTATATTTTGATAGAACAATCTTGATTACGTATGAAACATATATCTACAAATTCACAAACATAATAATATGATGTAAGTACAAATTAATATTTAATATTAATGTAATCTAATTAAAATAAGGAATAGATAAGGTACACTCTACAGGTAAATAGATATAAGTTAAAAGTTTTAAACGTAGGTTTTGTTTTTGTTTGGTATTTACACATTTATTATTCAATTTGGGTTAATTACATAAATATCTTAAGATATTCAAATGAAAATGACTATCTTAAAAAATAGTATCAATAATTTTAAACTTAAGGTAATAATGTAACATAATATAACATTGTATTATAAATTATAATAGTTAATAGGTAGATACATCAGATTAAATATCGGTATAATAATATTATAATCTTCACTTGTCATCAAACATTTGCGTCGTCACATTCATAATATCTAATTCAAAATAAACAATTTAAAAACAAAGTAATAATATTATAATGGTAAGCACATTTCGTCGAGGTGGATAATAATTTTTAATTACCATCCAACTGTATAACACGCGTTCATTCAAGTCTGAATAATATCACACACGCAAGTGCGTGAAATATTTAAAAAAAAAATAAATAAAACTATCTCAACCGTTGTCGAAAGAAGCGATTTGGACCAACAATCGGACGCAGGCATATAATATAGTTTATGATTTATTTATTATTTATGTAAGTGACGTCACGGAATGTTTATATTATGTTATTATTATTATCATAATTAATATTATTGAGCACTTATCTGTTATCATGGTCCACGGATGATAACAATATAATAATAATAGTATATTTTAATATTACAATTTTTCAATAAATAGCATTAATATTATAATAACGGTTTATAAATATTGCGCAAGGACAATGATATACCTATAATATGCACTAACCAAAGCTATACAAAACACCACATGGTTTGGTAACACTGATTTTTCCTTTTGTCACTGGCCCTAATAATATTATTATAATATTTCAATGTATTGTTCACGAAGCGGGTAAGCGAAATACTTAAATAATGATACGAACGTGTAATCATTATTTATAAAATACAATTTAGTATGTATACGTAATGTACGTACGGAGTGATCCATTTAACGATTTCTACGCTTATAATATTCCAGATCGATTTTGTGAGTATGACGAAAGCATGAATTGTTTTTTATAGAAGAATAATAATATTGAAGAATAATATTTTATAATACTACATTTTTACCAGGAAATCTTGTCATTTACAGTATTAAATAATTTTAATTTTTTTTTTAGTTGTCTTATGTTGATGTATGATGTAAACAAACACTTCAAACGACATAATATTAACTATAGTAAATAGGTAATATACTTTTTTTTCGAAATTACAAAAATCAACTCGGAAAGTAATCACAGCCGCTGACAATAACGCCAATAATCAATAAATCATCAATAATCACCACCGTGGTTCAATAATGATAGGTACACGGTGTATCGGGAGTGTCTGGCACGATTGCATTTTGTAACTATGTTTGAATGTGTCCAGGCAGATCATCAGGACACGCCCGGCCGAACAATAAATAAATTATATCATGGCTGGTATAATAATATAAGTACATCATGATCATGCCATTGTGTACTGATAATGCCGCGGTGCGCAACGTCATCCGATACACGACGTCACAACCGTGGTCGCGGTAAAGAACCGCATCACTTGCACGAGCACGTAAGCACCCTCATGTCGGGGTAACTCTTGAGCAGCACGTGGTTGGACCGGTCCATGTAGAGCAGCGTGAGCGGGGCTAGAGTGTCGGGCACGCACGAGGGCTCAGGCACGTCCCACAGCCGGCCGAACGACCTGGCCAAGCTCTGGACGGTAGCGTGGTTGGTGGGCTTGGACCCCTTGCCCAGCGGAAACAGGCAACCACCCGCGCAGTAGTTGGTCTCGAACCCCTTCGGGTAGATCACCCAGTCTTCCCAGCCGATGTCTGCGAAGTTGAGCACCAGCTTCTCCATCCGGCACTGGTCCGTACCGGTAAACGTGATCGTGTCACCCGTGTCCACAGCCTGCAAAACGCACGTCATAGATTATAATACTCGTATTATTAAATAAGTAACAACACCACTAATAAGCAAGTACATATTATTATGGCAAATTAAAAAAAAAAATTATAATATTTTAGAGCTTTCTAAAACATTAAGATTGTCTTATGTAAAATGGATCACTCCGTATATATAGGGATGATTAGGGGTTTGGATAATGTTTTATTTACTAATTTATTATATTAAATATATCGAAAAACAGTGCACCGATAGCACATACGAATTATTGATATTATTTACGGTGTAACACTAAGAACATATTTATTCTTTAAACCAGCAAAAAAGACTGAACTCCTTAGTATATTGTAAATCTATCTACCCTAATCCTCGTTACTTTGTTAATTTAATGTTTATTTAGTTTTGTTTATCTCCAATAAGCCTACACAACATGAAAGAAAAAAAACTCCCAACTCAATGTGTGCACTGTTGTTTGTCTAAGTTAAGTATTTCAGGGGGCCACCCAGTCCGCTCCTCATATATTTTAAATTGTTTGGCAAGTACATATTATGGATTATGTCTGTTACCTATCTAATAATAAATCAAATAAAAACTATTGTCATCAATATTATGGGTATTGATTGTATTATCATTAGTTTATTTATTGATTTAATTAAATCCAATAGGTACTATGGAAACTCGAGGTTTTCAAACTTATATTTATATTTTAAAATTAGTTAACTATATGGGATTTTTAAAATTGTTTTACTTTACACAGAATAATTGACTTAAATATTAAAAATCAATAAACGCCTCGATGCTTTCGATAAAATTAATTCTTTTGAACACAAAATTGATACTTTACAGCTACGTTAGTGAGACATCACGGATGTAATCTGAACATATGGATACTTCCCGTCTTCTTTATTACTGTAAAACCTAATCAGTATATTTATTAATCCTATGTTTAGTTGTAATAATTTTCAGTATTTTCAAAATGTATTTAATATAAATATAAATATATCGTAAAATATTAAGACTAACTCAGAATCGACTTATCATTGAATTCAAATTTAACACATATTTACAGTGAACTACTCAATGACGTAGTACATTTTCACCTACAACTGAAGTACAGCATAGCGGTTACCTACATATCCCATTTTTATTTATTTATTGTTTTTACTATTTAGAATTTAGTTATTTAAATAAAAACTAAAAAGTGTTCATTTCAATGAATAGTTGTTTTAATCGTCAGTCGAATGATTATTTATTTACGATGTAAAGAAATATTTGTCATAATACATTAGTTCTACTGTGTTTTATATACTACATGTTCATATTATTATATAATAGCTTAAATAAATATTCTGGAACGGCGCCTGTATTCTGCCAAAATGACAAACTTTGACATTTATTTAACTATGAGTAGCTGCATCTACGAATAATATTATGTATTTTAATACATTAAAATCTAAATTGTTTAATACGTATTATAAAATACATTGAAAATATTTTTACTCTAATTATTTCAAAGCATTATGATTCCAAATTGATATTTTTTTACGTTAAAAAGTACTCAAATAATTATCTAAATTCCAAAATATACCACAAAAATTGTATAAAAAATTCATCAACTTTTTATACTTTAAATTATTTTTTTCATTAGCTTTTTTTAATAGCTTTTTAATAGGTTTTATACTATGCTTGAGAAACTGCAGTGTGTTTTATTTATACATATTATACTTTCTTTAATTACTTACTAAAACTGATTAAATATTGAAGGATGGAATTTTTACCTATCCGCTCAATTACAATTTATTAATGAATCGACTTATTACAATTTTATATTATTAAAGAGTACTATGCACTATTGCATAAGTAGTACCTATATTTTATATTCTAGCAGGAGCTATGGCTTTACTATTATTACTTATTTTTTATTTCGGAAAACATTTTTCACTAAAAGTGGTTTAAAACATTCATAATGGAACATAATATATATTAAAATCAAAATATACTTTGGAGTTTAAAAAATAAAAAAAACACTAAACAACTATTCCCAAAACTTAAGCAAAATATAGTTACACTTGTACCTATAATATAGATGTCTTATTCACATGGACCAATTGGAAACTTTAACAATTACTAAAAAGCTTTAACAAAATCAAAAATATTATACCTATTTAAATAATGTAATGAATTGTCGTATTAGAAAAATATTACATTTTTAATCTTAAATGACGAATATACTTATATAATATTAAGGCACCTTATAGTGGTGACTTAGCGTATTAAAATAACCAAAGATGAGAATCAGAAAAATAACTCATTGATTATATTTTCATTTAAGTGTAAATATTTTATTACCTGTAGTTTATTGACTCGTGATACTTTTTGCTTCTTCTTCTTTCGTTTTGGCTCACTCGTGAAATGATTTCGCTTAACGTCGATTTCATTATCAGCCACTGACCTCTTGCGTCTTTTAATTGCAGTTTCAAACAGTAAGTTTGCCAATTCGTTGCCTTTTGCATATCTATCACCAGTGGTTATCGAATACAACACTAGTCCAATAGACAATTTTGCTGCACCTTCCATTTGGACGACTAGTTGGTCAAAGCCATTTAATGGTTGTGGGCCCAAAGTGTTGGCTAAATCTAAAGTGCCATGTATTGTTCCCGACCCTAAATACGTTTTCGATACGGTTTGTTTAGGCAAAACGAAGAATGATACATTTATGGCCTTGCTAAATTGACGATTTGTGTTAGGTTCGAGCTGAAGGACTGCTTTTTGGACGATTTCAGAGGGTTCAAGTGTACTCAGGTCATAAACAAACTGACTAAACGCGCCATGTGATTCTGAAACGAAATAAAATACACGCATATTACCATCATGAAACAAAACTACCTATCTAGGTACTTAGCAGGAAGTTTTAAAAAAAATGTTTTAAAATAAATGCCATTTATCTTTTGTTAAGATTTTAATAAAGCGACATGGTCTCCATTAGTGTAATTGTAACATTATAGTATATTTATAATCGAATTTATATAGGTAGGTACACTATTAAATTGTTTATAAATTACCACATTAGCATTGTAAAACCAAATAATTGTTATATTGAAATTACTGGTGATTAAATGTCAAGATAGTTGGATTGTTTATGGTATTAAACCATTCAGGTAGGTATTAAGTTCTTTAACAATTATTTTATATTTTAATTTCCCTGGTCGTAAATAGTAATACTATTTATTTGTTTCCATTAACAATATTACAGTTAATCTTTATTCTTTATATAGAAATATAATATAATTACTATTTGCAGTAGGTAATGTAGGACGTCTCTAAATAATATATAAAAATATATACCATGAGGTAGGTACCTGCTTCGTCGTTTATATATTTCATTAACTGTACATTTTTTATTTCAATATATTTTATCTATACCAGGGATCTTGAACCTTTTTAGGCTGCAGACCATCTATGTTTTTTTTTAAATCTCGCGGGCTTCATTAATAGTCATAAAAACAATTATATTAAATGGTTAAAAATTTGTTAAAAAATACATTAAAATGTGTTCAAATGGTATCAAATAAAGACAAGGCGGGTTAAGGCCCCAGATCTGTACTATTGTCTATTATTTACAGATCTGTCAACTTACTTTTAAAATATGAAATAAAATGGTTACAGATATCTAATAGATAATGTCGTGTTATTGTGGGTACTTAAATGTATGGTTCAAATAGTTGTCTGAATAGAAAATTAAAAAAAATTATTATTGTATTATATTATTATAAAAATAATGAAAACTCACATAATCAACACATTGTGGTGACAATTACGTGGAATAAAACATATTGATAGAATTGATTAAACCGTAATTATGAAGTTAAAATATAATATAGATACCATTGTTGTAGTGTACTTATTTTATTTAAGTATTTTTCAATTACGGGTCTATTATAATAATATATTATCTTCTTTGGATTGATTTTGATCAAAAGTAGTATTTTTCGACAACCCATAATCACGTTTTACAAGCATAATAAACTAGGGTGTTTAATATCATTATCGCAATCACGCGAATCTGTCAGTGCTGTCGTTACCTCCTCCCACGTGTCATACCACCAACCTCCATAGTCATATTTATAATAAACTCAGGTAGGTACCTACTTACTGCATACCCATGTACTTTAAAACGTCGATAATCCGTTTATCTTTTTCTTGTATCGTGGAAGTCGCAGATAACGACCCCTTAAATCCGATTTGTCGGGGCCAGACTGACAAGGCAGAATCTCAACAGAAATCCAGTTTTTAAAATATATATATCTAATGTAATCCCGAATTCCTCATGTAGTCCCATGTACCTTAATAATAATCGTATGTAAGTATGTGTGTGTGTGTGTTTGTGTGTGGTTTGGGGGGATTGTGGGTTGTGGAAGGGGTGTGGGTGGGAAGAGGAGTTACAAAGGATTAAAAACGTGTGTCGCCCCAGAGAGACACGTCTGCCTAAGTATGGGACGGGCAGTGGCAGCGGCGGCGGTCTCGACGGCGACGGCGACGGCGGCGGTGGCGGCGACGAACCAATTGACAAGCCATTAGATTAGACACTCGCATTGACCCTAAGGACGCGACGACGACGACGACGACGACGACAACGAGCACCTGCATTTATGTGTATCTTACCTCGGACAAAAGTCTTTTGTCCCTGGCGCCACGACCATTTCCTACGGCCCACCGCTGGGTTACATTTTGTCTTCTTCTTTTACACACAACCCCACCCATACAACATTTTTTTTCACTTTGTTCGCTCCTTACACATATATTTTATAGTATACTGCACACGATATTAAACCAAAATTGTTTCCCAAACGGGCCAAATATTCTATAAGACTAAAATCGTAAAAACAATTACAATCGGTTTTTCATACACACAGAAAGCCCCCGGTCTGCAGACAACAAGATGACAAATACTTACGGAGAGTAGTAATATTATTATTATTTTTTCGTGTGTTTCCATAACGACGATGTTCCTAAACGTTATCCAGACGGCGTCGCTACGCAAATTAAACGGAAGTAGAGTAGGCAAGGCGCCAAATTTGAAACTCCGAAAACGACCCTTTTTTCCTTGTACGCTTTGTATGTATATACTATATACACCCCGAATACCAGAATTTATGTCTTTTTCTAATGCTTGTATGAAGTGTCGTCGACACACCCGTACTACATTCTGGCATAAACGAAATTCCAAATTACTATAGAAATTCAAACACAATAATAATAATAATAATATGTACCTACATTATATTTTATACTGTACTGGAAGAAATCAAACATAGAAGTAAGTATTCTGATCTACTGTAATTATCAAAATTTCATTAAATATAAGTACAAAAGTATATTATATACAGTTAAATTGAACATAATATACATTTATTTTATAAAATCTGTTATCAAAATTATAATTATAATATATTATGTACCTAAACTATTTATTCACAATTACTAAGACAAGTATAAATTCCATAACCAATCATTCAAAATTGAAATTACGGCATGAGTTTCAATTTTAATAATCTTATAATGGATATAGGCACTACGGGTTTGTAATTAAGTTATTTGAAGTTCTAAAAACAATCAATCCAGTGGAAAGTTTTCAGTTGTTATTCGAGTCAACTCTTTACACCAAACTTTGACAATAATTGGATTTCTGCGACCAACCAACCAGGGCTTAAATGAACTTTTATTTTCACATACCGACCTGACTTGACAATTAGATCCGATGAAGTCGAAAAGTAATTTATAGAAATGAGTCAATGGCCGTATCGAGCACACTCAATGGTCCATACAATAGGTACCTATACGATATTTTATGAGTTTAGAAATATTTTGAATACGTCATCGAAATCAGATTAAGCAAACAATAATTATAAATTGTTTTATTCGATGCGTAAAAACAATATAACCGGGTATAGCGTAGGTGATATAGTAATATAGGCAAAGAAATTTACGTCGTACTTTTATTTATTTATTTTGAATAATGTATGAATTTGGAAGGTAGGTAGGTATAATATACTTAATTTAAGTGCTATAAATCAAAATAAAGTAAATCAATATAATAAAATATACCCCATGAAAATAAATAACAAAAGATCAACAAAATACTACTTTAAAGTATTACACTAATGCGCAACACAATACTTTTGTTACAGTATTTTAAAGACGTATTTTAGGTCGCCTGGTTTGACGCCACTGGGTTTTTTTTTTGGCGCCTACACAAGAATGGTAAACGTAAAGAATTGTATACTACCTATGCTATTCGTATAGACATAAAGTATAAATGTTAATATATTGTAAATTATATCAGCTGGTGTATTAGCCAATAGTTCACAATTTAGCTACAAATAACCCTATTGTGCTTTGTTGTAACTTGTAATACTAATACCAACAAAAATTGCATATTATTGATTTAAATATTAAGATATAAACATTATACTAAGAATATTAAGTGATAACCGGATATTGTTTGCGTATATAATATAGTAACACTTTATAGTTATCACAAACATAAACGTAAGTATTTATTACTTACTATAATAATTGTAATAGTTATTACCAAAACTAATTTAAAACAAATATTACTACATTTGTAAATATACTACAGTCTACAATATACTTATGAGATTTAACACATACAAATTTAGGCCGTTGTTCAAATAAATAAAATATTTTTTACACCCACATAATTTTAATGTTAGTTGAGGTATTTTTTAAAATTATAATCAATACTTAAAAATTCTATCTATTTACTTTTAAATTATAATTAGGGGTGACAATGTACGAAAATACTTTTAACAAGCTTCCAACCGAATAATATCCTTAAATTAAAGGGTGCTTGTAAATTGCGCCCACATTAAGCAGGTAATAAAAATACTATAGTAAATTGAGCTCGGAATTTTTTGGTTTCTAAAATGGGTATAGTAAATTGCACCCATAGTATTTAGGTGACCTTGAATTCATCGTTACCTATTATGTGTATTTTAAATATACTATTGTTCATTTATTGGTGGATAAGCCGAACGTTTATCGCTATAATCGTTATAATATTAGTGATATAAACTTTACACGTATACAACGACTTGACGTATAGGTAATATTTTAGTAAGCCGTTTGCGTGCAACATTGAAACATGGATATTATACATACTGGATTTAGCCAGAAAGAAAATTATGTTATATAATCTACCAAACTTATAAATTTTCAAAATTAAAACGTGAATTGTCTTCGGGTGGAACAAAGTGGCGATGAAGTGTAAAAATGTGTATTATGTGTCTAAATGACTATCACAAAAATAATATATATATTGGGTGCAATTTACTACACAGAAATTTACTCCTGAAAATACCGGCGCATTACTACATAGAAATTTACACCTGAAAAATACCGGGCGCAATTTACGTTTGCATTAATTAAAATATGAAACGCATTATTGTACCGTAAACAAGGTTTTTAATAACTTTAAGGGTTTTTAAAAGAATAAAAACTTTATAAAAAAAAAATATAAGACACATAATATATTACCTAATGTTATAGATCTATTATCATACGTTAATCAATAGGTATAATAAATTTTTCACGTCGAAGCAAAAAATATGTTACAGGTAGGTATACCTATTTATATAACATTTTCATCTTTTTAATATCCTATGGATGTCTTATGAGCCAATTACTTATGTAGGTAGGTATTAAAAATTTTAAATTTAAATATCTTAGAAAAATATAATCTGTTACATTATGTTATTATTTGCAAATTAAATACTTAATAGATAAAAAAAATTGTCTTATTTCCAGTTTATTATAAATACTTAGATATTTTTATACTCGCACAACAGTATAATAATATGTTGATATCTCAGAAATATAAATCTGATATCTTGCAATTCTGATATCTATATCATATAAATATTAAAAATAAAATATACCAAAGACATAAAAATATCAATAAAATAAATACTTATTATTATATAGTTTCTTTTTAAATGTATTATTGATTTTATTTTAATTTTAAATTTTGAGTATATTATAATATAGCATAAATTTAAATTGCTCATATTTCACTTGAAAACTGAATTATCTTAAAAAAAAAAAAATCAATATACAAACATAGATAACGTTCTTATCATCAAGTTTCATAATTGGTGATTCACTGTAATTTTTAAACTAAAGAAGCTAAACGTGATTTCTGCTGAACATAAATTTGGTATGTTTTATATTAACACTCGTAAGGCAGAGACATCAATAGTAATGTCTCTGTAGCGTCCTCTGCCTGTATAAAATGTTATTTGAACATTGAACGACACAAAACATATTATTATACGATAATGCAATTGAATAAACTACCTATCTAGACCAATGCATTTTGACCATTATTGTGTTAAACTATATCTATTTATTCTATATATACCTACTATAATAAAATTTTAAACTTGATTTGAAACTATGTGTTCTCAAACAGGACACCAAAAAGACCGTATATAATATCACGCATACTATTTGTGTATACAATATAATAACATGTAATATTATATTATAGTGTAAATTGTAGAATGTCCGTTTTCAGTTATTGAAATATTTAGGTACGAAAAGTGCTGTTAAATAATAATATAATTTTACAATTATCATATTTGGTACATATTACCATTAATTATAAATATAGTATTTATAATCAATGATATTACATATTATACATTATAAGTACCTACATATATTATCAAGGCCGTAACCAATAATTTTTTCTGTGGGTGGGCCGGGGGTCAAAACATGTATATTGTAATTTTATTGAATTTAGGTTTTGATATTTGGTTAAAAATAAGATATTGAAAAAAATTCGGGGGGAGTCCAGACCCCCCCCCCCTCGGATACTGCCCCTTGCATATTATTTGATGGTATATATTATCTACCTATAGTCTATGTTAATTTTTGTAAATAAAATATATTATAGTAAGATGTTAATGCATATTGATTATCGTTACCCGTCGTCGGCGTGATGCTCCTTATCACGTCGTATCGCCTATTTCCGGTGTCTTCGTATAACTCGTACATGTAGCTGGGTATCTGGACGTCGGCGGTGCGGTTTTCCATCGTCTCGATGCGGAACATCTTCATCAGAGTGTCGCTCACGCCTTCCGCCGCTCGGCAGCAGTACGGCACGGCGAGCACCGCTACGGCAACGATCGCGTACAGACGACACATGGCCAGGATACAATAATATGCTAACCAGTAACCGTGTAGAAATACGCGCGAATTTCGTACGGTTTTTGGTGTTCTGTCGACGACCCGTGTGTGACACTTGCAAGGGACCAGACGCGACTGTAGCCACTTTGGTCTTGGTCTCTCCTCCGCAGGTAGATGCGACGACGGCGATGGGTGTGTACCTGACCTATACGCTCGCAGAGAGACCATTATTGTTATTATTATATAGTACCCATACCTGTCCCCGGGACCTCTGATACCGGCCGTGGTACATGTCGTTTGCGTAAGCGTGTCGAACCTTTTTTTTTTCCACTTCTTTCCCTCCACTCGCGCACACCCCACTGCCGTGCGGCATCGACAATTAAATATGGACCGGAACGTATATCAAAGGGAAACGGGTCCACGATCTCGGCCATTAGAATAATATTCGTAGAAAGGCACGTCAATAAACGGAAAAACGTGTTTAACGTATTTGTTTTGATTCTTTTTTTTCCTTCTTCTTCTTCCGTCACATCACTCGGTGGACTGCGACAGTGCGCGTCTCGAAAGAAGCAACCTGTTAAAATATAAGCACGTTCCCAAAACGCGAGAGTTAAATGCTTTGTAAATATTTAAAAAGGATTACATTTATATTATATTTTTCAATATTTTTGCAGATGGTTATAATTCTCACACAACAATAATATTATTATTGTCCACGGAATGCCACGTTTGTATAATACGGCAAATAAACAAAACCACCCAAAAATGTCTTTCGAATATTTACGATGAATATGATTGTGAATTCTATCAACAATATATTTTTGCTGCAACAAAACGAAATTAATTTATTTGATTTTTACCGACAGTATGATAATATATTTTAACAGTGTGTAGCTATGTAGGCATTCATGTAAAAACACTTATGGTGTCACATAAACCATAAACGTATACTACACGTGAATACATTGGTTACAATAATCAATATGATTCTTCGAAATCACAATCGTTTTTGAAACATCTGGTCCCCAAAATATTTACTATTTAAGTTTTCATTCTTCTAACATGTTTTTGGTAGGTCTATTTAAATCCGTCAACGTGAATAAAAAAATCACGAATAAAATATATTTTTCAAATAATTCTAATTTAATCCACTTAAATTTGTTCTAATAAAATCACAATATAGGTACTCTGCTTAATTGTAATCTATATTATATAATATGTGTAGGAACTAGAAATTATTTCCGTATTGAGTCAATCATATCCAAGCATAGATGAAGGAGTATTGCTTTTGCCAAGTTAAAAATGCATTGTTCTATTAATTTTGAAAAATTGTTATTATTACATACTAAATGATTACTCGGTGCGTAAAAATATAACAATGATGTGTATTTTAATAATTGTTCCATTTAAATAATAACGGACATTGTGTTGTTTTTATAAAAACAAGAGTATTTTACACAAGTTTATGAAGGATGACATTTTTGTTGTAATCCATAAAAAAACAAAACAGTTAATGTTGTAAAACCGAAATTAATACATTGTAAATAAATAACTGCGAAAGCCAAACATCATTATTAAAATAAATAATAATAAAAAACTTCACTCGTGCAGATAATACGTTCAATATTTTTTCAGAAATTAAAACAAAGATTCAGTGTTATTTTTTAATAATTTAATATTTAGAAATAGGTAGGTATTGACTAGGTATTGAATATCTTTTCAGAAACCATTGAGTAGTTTTAAGATGTAAAATAAATATAAGATATATCAATAAAGCAATAACAGTAAAATTTTTGAATAAAAAAACAACAACCAACTTTTAATTGTAATTATACCATAATGTAAAAAGTACGATTTTTAAATATTATAAAATAATTAATTATATAAATTAAAGTGCTACACATTAAATAATTAACTAAAAACTAAAAAAGTAATGGATTTGAGTTCTGGTGACTTAAACAAAAGATAAGCTTTATAACGATAAAAAGGTCAAATTATAAAGAAACTCAGTTATTATTAAAAGAAAAATGAAAGGCAAAAATGAAGAAAGGAGCGTGACAAGAAATCATAATGTCTTTATAATACGTTTTAATAAAGAAAACCACTGAAATAATATTTTATTATGTCGCATATTTTAAAATAACTTGTATAGTATGAACAACTATTTGAATACTAAATAATATTTATTTTTCGATAATAAATAAAAATAAATGCTTCCAAATTATAAATAATAATTATAATACAATACTAACCGAAATTGTCATGGAAATACAAAAACTATAGTATACCTATATCCTGCAGTCATTCAATGTATATACCAGTTACCAGTCCGTATTACCAATCTGTACATAATTAACTGAAAAATTGTTAAATTTCAAGTTATTCTTAACTTTAAAATCAATAGTTTCACTGTGTAGGTTCCTAATAATTATGATTATCATAATCTGAGCTGTGGATTTAATGCATTCATATTCCACGTCATATTAATGTAATTTTGGATGTCCTCAAAATTACACTCTAAGGGAATAATGGTCCTGTCCTATAGAATCAATCAAATTTGATTTTTTTTTTTTTTTAATTAAATCCCATTTCTCCTCGGGAAGTAGATTAATGGAAACAATTATAGTTATATCGGAAACTACGATATAATTTTTGAATTTGATTGAATTACAGACAATTTAGAAAATCGGTACCGGACCGATATGACCGGTACGGATTGATATTTCTCTGTTACCTAATATGTATAGACATAGATACTGAGCAAAGCGAAGGAAGTATTGGTTTGTACAATGATCGATTTTGTTTTAATTTGTTGTATCTAATTCAAAAACGAATGACCGAAATTACATGAAATTTTCACCAAATGGTAAATATTTAGATTAATTGTATGCTATTGCCTATTGGCTATTGCCTATTTATCCCATAACTCCTGCCCGGATTAATGGAATTCATGGCCCTGGGCTAATTTATTTTTGGGGCCCTAATTTTACAAAAAAGTATTTTTTATAATAATATGCCAATTGATAGTCATTAGTTAGTAAAAAAAAAAGCTCTACATCCTCATATATTTATTTGTCTTGAAGAAATTGGATTTTATTACATTTTTTTAAAATTATTAAATATTTTAAAATAAATTTATAACACGACGGGACTGACGTTGCGTTGCTCAAATTAAAAAAGACTTAGTGTAAATACGTAAGAATATGGTACAATATGTACAACTGAAAACAAAAAGATAACCAACCATCACAGATATGATTTATATCTGTGAATGATATTCTAATATGGATATAGCTATTAAACGACTGTAATTTAAAGTGTATTACCTCTTATCTGAAGCGATAAAATAAAACGAAATAACACAGTAGGTATATTGCGTGTTGTATGTACCTATTTAATTCAATAACATGCAGTTTGTCATAATTTGACAGATTGTTAAAATCATATTTCTCTAATTATATATCTATGACTGTAGAAAAGCTGCAAGCCCATATTATTTTTTTGGGGGCCCTGGGCCCGCTTAGCCCCCCCTTTAAGCCAGCTCTGCCTGCCCTATAATTATAGCAATACACATATAAGATATAATAATATTGAAGTAAAAAAGTTACTTGAGTACCATAGCCCATCTCGGTTTCATTTATCCTTGGACAGTGCTGGGTAATACGCATCTAGTAACCTATTTATGATAAAATAAACTTAGAAATATAGTGTGACAGACCGTCTTCATTCGTAATGCGTATACAATAATTTATCATCGAATTCAAATTTAACACATCCAATAGGCAGTAACTTACTCATTGACATGAAGTACACTTGACACTTAAAAAATATTTTTGCATATTTCAAAAATGTTTAATGCACAAGTACATTTTGTTTGTTGGCATTCAATTCATAGCCATGAATTGAATAAGCTTAGTATGGTCTTAATTTATTTATTGATTTATAAGGTAATGTCTGTGAATAGAAATAATCAAAAAAGTAACAATGCAAAATAATTAACTATTTTATCAGTTGAACAGCAATAACCTAATTAATATTAATTAACTAGATATTCAATTACGAATTATTTTTATCTTCTACAGGGTAAACTGTTAATATTTAGGTACCTATTTGTTTATTTTTTTCTTGGCTAACAGGCCATTAAGGGTTTTTTCTGTTTCTACCAAATATCTCCTACCTTCTCGATCATAAGCTTTTTCATTTTCCGTAGTCCCCAGGCTTTCTTTATCAAGTCATCGCTGACAGACCTGCCTCTTTCCGCTGGATTTATTGATATTATTACCTTATGTAGTTATGTATCAGCTTATCCTTGGTTGGGTATTACAACTTATGTTTAGTATATTAAAAATAATTTCGACGTCTTCATTGTTCTATTTCTCATAATATCTTCCTTAGTGTGGGACCGGTGGACCATATTATATCTTAAGTTATAGGATATTAGGATTTTCTACTCAAATATTAGAATTCTCAGATCGTCGACTGTCGTTGTTGCTCAAGTTCCATAGGCATACGTCATAACATTATAAATGTATAACAGTGTAGGGCGTAGATAGACTATACATATCTTCGTTTTAGTTTCTCTTGATAGTTTAGATCATAGAGTATACTCTATGGTTTAGATAGTTACCTTAATGATGATATGCATACTTCTCATTTCGTGATATCCTCTATTTACCGAAACAGGTCTCAGCCTTACTTAATTTATTTATGTAGGTATATAAAGGTATTGTATATTAATATACTATGCACAGATACAAAACGTTTTACACGATAAACGTGATTGAAATAACATATATAGGTTAATATAAAAACAATGTAATGTATTAGGATTTCCAAATTCAAATGTATATGAAAAGCCAATTTATTATTTATCTCGAAATTATATATGCAATATTGTGCATCATTTATATGCACAAAGTTGTGTAGACTTATTTATTATTGAATAATTGAATTTGATTGTTAATGGAAATGGAGTATATTTAAACCGAATCGTACCTGTTGTGCATTAGTAATGAGTA